CGACGACTACTACTACTACTACGATTGCTACTACTACTACTACTACTACTACTACTACTACTACGACTACTACTACTACTACTACTACTACTACTACTACTGCTACTACTAGTACTCCTTCTACTACTGCGACTACTGCTACTGCTACTACTACGACTACTCGCCGTAACCGTCAAGCAACGGTGTACACTGACACACACACGCAACGCAGTGACTTCGACTGTGCTGTCGACACTTTTGAAAACACAAACCGTAATCGTATAGGTGCTTTGCAGTTCAGCCACTGGACGACCCTGAAGGTTTTGATCCCCGTGATTGACAAGTGGTGCAAGGACACGCTTCTTCGGTGAAGGTTCGGGTTCGGGACCCTTAAGACAACGTGAACCTCGATCCATACCTGCTGACTAGAGCGAAACCTCATCGCTGGCTTTCCACAGCTTATTCAATTTATGATCCGTGAAGACCATGCTCAGCGACGTGAGACTCATTAGACTCGGCTGGGGTGTGGGGTTGAAGCATCATAAGCAGTGAATCCGGGCTTTCGGGTATCTTTCCTCCCGTCAGACGCAAGACTCGCGTAAGACCAGGAAGCCTGGGGTTTGGTGCTCAGAGTTAGTTATTCATGGTTTCATTCCGAAGGTAATGTCGACCAGGACCCCTTGCTAAATGAGCTTTGACATACTGCGTTTGAATTCCAGGCTTTGTGTGTCACTATAAACTACAAAGTATGAAATTGCCGGCGATCTGAGCATCCGGCATTTCTTCGAGCTGTCCTGCTGTGTTGAAGCCACAGCCCACCACAGTGAGTGCAGCGACCAGAGTCACGAGCATAGCACTCTTAATCGCGGGGGTCGCGGCAGGAACGTCGACGTAGCCTCGAGCTCGCATGCTCACAGTCCTGTGATGGAAAGATCTTTTTCATAGTATTCTTCCACAGGTGCCTGAGCTTCCAAAAGTCTCCAGACCAGACTTGAAAAACGTTTGATGAAGTTTGAAGATCCTCCAGACTCTTCAGAGAGCCGATCGTGAAAGGAAATTGACATGCCTCCGCGGCTTTTCCTGATGCCAATGAGCTACATCATGCCGCTCGGCCCAGGACCATACGGCCTGTAGGGTTTATGTTCAAGGGTGGCTGCACGATCTAGGACTTAACGCATTAGGTCCTCGGGCGTGTAGGACTGGAGTTTCAATATGTTGCTCATGCCTTGTCAGCAGGCCTATAACACGCGTCCAAAGCTGCTTGCAGGCCCGTGGTCACAAGATGACACCAGCATAACCCGTAAGGCACAAAGCGCATGCATTGGCCACACAGAGCAGAACAAGCACAAAGCCTACACCCCTAAACACCCTACACCATAGGGCCGGAACCCTCCAAACAAGCCCTCGATAGCCTGTTCAGATCATTTCAAGGCTCGTGATTGGGGCCTTTGCCATTTTTTCCACTTCATCGAACCTGGTGGTCCAGTCACTGCTGATCGAGAGAGGAAGTTGCCGTCGGGCGGTTTTTGAGGGCTCCTGCAGTGTTGATGGCTTTGGCTTTAGGGTGTGGGGTTCTAAGTATCAGTATCAGGTTCGGTCTTGTCTTGTTCCATGAGGATGTCTTGCGGCTTGTAGCAGGGTGTGTCAAAGGCTGTTGAGGCTTCGGGTCACGTTTGACGTGTGTTGTCCATATTAACATCTCAAGGGTGGTTGTGGTCTGCTGGTTATGTCATCGGATCCGTGCAAGAACTATTCAAGGTGCTTCGGGAATTCTTATAAGACTCATACGGCGTTACTGTTTGGAGAGTTCGGTGACGGAAGAGGAGGATTCCGGAAGAATGGCTTGCGCAGGACTTTTGGGTGGGCATGGGGTTTGGGATTGGCGCTGGAGGCTTCTTCAACATGTTCTCTACATTAACGGAGAGCCTAATTCCAAAAGAATCTACGCCCTCACCCTGCTGATAAAAAAGGCCCCAGCTGAAAGGTTAGCGTCTTTTAGTCTTCGGCCCTACCAACCCCCCAATGTGGGACCCAAAAGGACTCGAGCCCTTCGACAACTTCGCCATCTCGAGCCTGGCATTCCTTTGTGGCGCTGTTTCTTGGAGAGTTTGGGGCTTCGGAGTTCAGCGCTTCAGGGACGGGGGGTCAGGGATTTGGGGTCTGGGCTTTGGGTTTAGAGTTTCGGATTGAGGCTTCGGGGCTTTTGGGTTTAGTCTAAACCCTCAGCCGAAATCCTGGCACTTGGGAGTTTTCAGATTAGCTGGGGGAGGCGCGCAGCAGCTGTGCAGAGAATCCTGTCGGCTTGTGTCAGGAGCTGCATTCAAGCAAGGCTTGTGCTCCGCTTTTTTTGTTTGGTTCCGTAGACTCGTTGTGGTTTTCACTCTTAGGGCTACAGGAAGTCTGAAGTTGTCCTATGCATTTACTGTTTTCAAAATTTAATTGTTCCCGGAAAGGTCGCAGAAGTTGGGCCATGCACCGATGAAGCCGGCTTGCAGATACACACATGTATATATGACCGCGTATTGGTGTTTGTGTACGTGCATGTGCCCATGTCTGCATGTCATGTCATGTATGTATCTATGTAGATAGGCAGGTAGAGGGTAGGTAAGTATGTATGTACGAATGTATGTATGGATGGATGGATGTACAAACAAACTATGAACGATTGAATGAAGGAATAAACGACTGAACAAACGAATGAACGAACGAATGACTGCATGGGTGTACAAGTGCATGAATTGCTGAGCTGGCTAAGTAATGAATCAGTGAACGAAAGATCGAATGAACGAATCAATGCATGGGTGCATGAATGCATGAAGTATATGCATGAAGGAAGGAAGGATGGAAGGAAAGAAGGACGGCAGGAATGAAGGAAGGATGGATGGACGGAATGATGGAATTCAATGGAATGAACCATAATGGAGAATTGGATGAATGAATGAACGAACGAATGAACTGGAACGCGTTGCATTGGCATGGAACGATAATGGAACGACATGACGTGGAATGAAATGGATGATCCACTGAAAGAATTAATGAGCACATGGCTGACTGGCTGACTGAGTGAATGAGTGAGTCAGGGAGTGAGTGAGTGAGTGAATCAATGAATGCATGCATGAAAACAGGACTGACTGACTGACCGAATGAATGACTGAACTTATTTTTGGACTGAGTGAACTGATGAAAGGATCGGAAAGGAATTGACTGGAATTGAATGCGTGGATGAAGCAAGAAAAAGGATGGAATGGACACCCCTTCCTAACCTTAACACTCGGGCCAAGGCTACCCTGCTCTACATCGCCGTGGCAGTGCCGCCTCCTGGTCTCGGATGGAGGGCTCAAGACAAAACCCCGGCTCTGAAACCCTGCACCTGAGCGCTAAGCCGGGTGTTTCTTTCGGACTGATAGGGCGGAGACGCAACCGTGAGAAACGTCCCCAGTACTGTACCAGAAGCAATCCATGGGTCGGAAGAGACGGAAACGTAGGCATGGACTTAGATGGAAAGTTTTGGTTTCCTCAGAGCTCTCCTTAGACAGTTGCCTTCACCTTCATTCCATCGGGGTCACGATATCCACGGTTGTGGAATCAAGCAGACTCTGCAAACTTGAACATTGAACAGCTAGAGATTGCTCGAGTCGCGATGGTCTAGGGTCAGGACTTTTAAGATGTTTCACCGGTTGCACCTACTTAACGACCTCGCTACAGCCCTAAGTATGAGCCTCATTTAATCATTAAATGAGTTGACCGCTCAGAAAGAGCTCCTAAGTGTCGGCTACCCCTGCAATTCAGGACCATTTTGGCGGAAACGGAGTCGGCTTCTTCGCCTTCGAGTCCGAACAAGGCTGACAGGAGTGGAGTTGACGATGTTGTTTGGGTCTTCTGTCACGATTATGAAGGTTTATTGTTTCGGCGTTGGGTTTGACTGCTTAAACTGCCGTGCACCCGTGAATAAAGATGTCAGTCAGTCTTTGATGATGTTTTCGCGCACATGTGATGCTCATGGCAAGTCTAGATTGCTGGCACCCCAGGCAGGCCTCGAATTTGCTTGAGGCGTTTGCCTCTTAGACGACAAGGATGCCGGACGAAAAGCGCAAGACGGCATCGGAATCAGACTCTACGGCTTTCTGTGTCGGGGTATAAGGACCTCCCCCGGCAGTTTGGAGGTGTCGCCGTAGTCTCCCGGCCGCGACACTAAACATACGAAGTTTGAGTGCCAATTAGTTTGGTTTAGGGCGGTCAACCCGAACCCCCATAGGAGGGATTAATAATGCGGATGCCTGAAGAGAGCTCACCACCAGATCCCGCTTTAAGCGTGCTGCCAGGCGAGCTCCACAGTGAGCAAGAAGCTCTTCTTGGCGAACATTCAGATCTCTGGAAGTTCGCTGGGCGGAAGGCCGGGGCATAGTTGGGCGTCGTTGCAATCGCCTCCTTCAGCGCGAGAACCGTGACCACATAAGCCTGAAACTGAGTGGTGCTCACATGTTGCGCTATTTCAAGGCTTCACCGACATCGGACACCTTGAATCCCTTGTTGGTTGTGGGTCCGATTTGTAGGAAATACGTGGACGGCTACTCCTTGAGGGTACATGCGGGCCCTCGTCTACACCAAAGCCTGAGCACCGTTAGGTTGATGCTGGAGCATTCTTGGGCACGTCTTGAAGTGGACTAAGAAAGACGCCTGGTTTCTAAAAACAGCGAAACTCCGGGCCAACCTGCAGTGCGAATACAAAACGTGGATAGACATCGGGGTCCAGGCTTGAGGCTCACTCGGCTTAGGGCTCCAGCTGACAGTTCAGGAGGTACTCTCCCCCACGCGGATTCTGTTTCTAGGTTCCATGTGATAGTCGTTTCATTGCTGCGAGCATGTCCTATTTAATTACTTTTGGCTCGGGCTAGCGGGTACGCAACACAACCAGAAGCCTCAAACCTGCAGACCCTCAAACCTGAAGCTTTAACCCTAGCTCAATCCTTCAAACCCTGCGGTCACTCAGACCCTAAACCCTCAACGCACAAACGACAAACCCTACCCTGCCCTGCCCCATGCCCGTGCCCCGTGTCAAACCCGAAGCCCGCACTCAACCTTAAGCCCGAAATCCTAGAACCTCAGACCATCAATCCCTAAACTCTCGAACTCTAGCACAGGTCACTGATGGAGTCGGGGCTGCTCTCTGTGCTCGGCAGCCACTTGCTAAGTTCGGTTTGGGATCCACAGGGTGACATGCTTTATAATAGGGATTGTAGGGTTCACAGAGCTTCGAGGTTGAAGGGCTGCAGGGCTCCAGGATTTCTGTTTGTCGGTATACTAGGATGGTCTGGGCCCTAAAGCTCGGCGCGATCGGCTGCACAAGGTTCGATAGACTTGTTTATAAGATGCTTGGTTCTAGGAGCTTTCAGAGCTTCAGGAAAGTTTGCCGCTTGTAATTTAGGATCTGGTCGTTTTGTGGATGTGGGAGGCTTGAATGTAGCAAGGAGGATCATCCCGGGAGAGTTTTGGCACGCCTTATGTAACAATAAAGGAGTAGGATAACTGAAGCACTTTTTACAACCTGTTTGTTCGCGGTTTCAAAGACGGCCTCAGCAGGCTGTCGAGGGTCCGGCAGGTTCTAGGTCTACTTTCCGTGCCTTCTCGCGGCTTTCGGCAGGCACTTCGCAAAAGCACCGTGAAGAACAGAGAAGCCAGGGTGGCGAATGGGAAAACCCTAAACTTCGGGATGTTGAATTAGGTTTGAGCTGTCGGAGAAAGACTTTAAAGATGTGCAGAGCTTTGTGTGAAGTTGTTTTGGTGGTGTTGAGAACTGCAGCATTAATCTGGTGGTTATCTACCGAGTGACCGAGTGATGAGAAGGTCGTCATTTGCAACCAGTTTTGCCGCTGATCACTGATGCCATGTGTATTCGCTTGGTTTGTAGAGTTTGCCGTTTCCCGGGAGCTCCGAATCTCACAGACAGTAGTCAAGCTGATCCACCGCCACCGACAGCGAGAACTTGAAAGCCTGTGCAGTGCACCCCAAAGCCACAGCCCAAAGCCCAGCACAGCCACAGGGTAAAGCTTGACAAGCACAGGAGTGGCGAGCATCGTACGGGTAGAGCGCATGGGCACAGAGGCGGTCTTGCTGGTGGGATGTATCTAGTAGACTTCTTGCCGAACCAGAACCCGCCAGACCACAACCCAGCTTTTTGGCAAGGACCCCCAGAGGATTTAGAACATAATGTTTCAGCAGTGGCTTGGGGTTGAGAGGAATTGATTCTCTTGTAGCTTCTTCCGGAATTTCGCGAACAAAACAGCAACCACGATCTCGATGTGGGTATCCTGCATAGATCCAACGTCGAGGGCCCTTTGTGTGGGGACTCTACGGTTCCTCCTTAACTAGTTGGTTTGGGATTCCGGACCTGGGTTTCGGACTTGGCGATTCTAGCAATGGTCTTACACTTCGGGTTCGCATGCGGGGTGGATCGATTTTCGACTTTCGGGATCATCGAACAAGTGTGACTCGTACGGAAACGTCCTTGGCATTTATTTAAGTTTAGCTTGATTACCCAACGCACCGAAGCATAAGACGCCGCAGCCCATAGGATGCTGCCAGTGTTTTCTCGTGTTTCAACCACGGACATCCGGAACGGAGAGTTTCAGTCTTGCGAGCTTAGGTGGTTGATCAGCGTTTTACTACTTCTCTCTGGGTTGATATTAATTTGTATTCCCTGCCTACACCAGTACCGGAAGGGAGGCTGCAGCAGCATCGATTGGGCTATGCCTATGCCGCTGTGCACTAGAACAAACCCTTTCGAGTGACAATGTCCTGGTATGCGAACCATCGTCATTTGCAGCGCCAGATTCAATTCCAGGATCGCTTCGTTCGAGATGGGGCAAAGGTGCAGAATTTTGCCATCTTCATATGCCGCGAAGACCCCGACTTCCCTCAACTGTTCCCTTCGAGCTACCTGCAAATTTCCGGCAAATCCCGTATCAGAGTTTGTGGCACGAAAACCCCTCAACCCTGAGGCCTGTATCCTTCACTCCCATGTAGCAGGTTGGCCTCTCCAGCCTTGACGTACCTTGGACGTCAACTTTCGTTCTTTGGGCAATCAGAAACACAGCCGGTTCGTGAAATCCTTTGAGTAAAGCAGTGGAATCCAGGCATGTCTCAACAAGCCTTCGCTTCGAACAAACCTGGAAGCCCTAAAGCCCAGGGCATGCAAAGTGCCTGGAATCTACATATATCTGCATTACACGCCCGAAGCCTAAGCCTTAAAAGCCCGCACTTATCCACACATCCGTGCCTGAAATCTAAGCCGTCTCTGGGGAGCCAAGGAGAACTTTATGCTCGAGCAGCACGTGGCTCTCTCGCAGTCGGGGCTTAAAGTCTAATTAGGGTTGCAACATTTAGGTTTGAGTTTCTGGGTTTGCATTCATAGCTTTAGTTCGAGTTTCTTTGTCAGTTTTGGGGTCTTAGGCTGTTCATCAGCTAGGATGATGCAACCAAGTTGGCATCGTTATATCATTACCATTGCCATTAGCAAAGTTAATCATAGCTGATCCGACATTGACTGTCCTTGTCTTGAACATTTTGCCGTAGAGGGCACTGTTTTGCTCGTCATCACAACTATAAGCAGTGGCGGCCAGGCAACATGTACAGTCGATTACTGCCCCGATACATCCACAGCATAGCAACTCATGACATGGATGAATGGGTTTGCAGGTAAGGATTAGCAGTTGGTAGGTTTGGCCTGCCAACTAGCCAGAACGTGCGAACACCTTACTTCAAGCTCCCTTTTAATGCGCCCAAAACCAACAGATGCTATACATGGGCCCCAAGACCCGAGGCATTCGTTTACCCCGTGTCCCAAATCGGTCCAAACACTTGGACCCTGCACCTCCAGACCCTGATGATGAACCCTTCCTCAAGTCTGGAGAGTAGGGCCTAGGATTTTGAATCTCCGGTATATGGTTAATTCAGTTATTGGTCGGCTGTAGGACATTCTCTACGTCTGGTGCGCGGAGCATGCCACGATGGAGCTGGTCAACACATCGGGAATCACTCTCATTGCCCTTGATGGCTCCTTTTTGCGCATTGCAGCTGCTTGTGTTTGTGTTTTTCTTCGCGGGCTGTCCTGAGCCCCAGCTAGAGGCCTCAAGTAGGGTTCAGGGTTGGGCGTTCAAAGCGTTCTTGTTGTGGTGAGATATCTTCAATGGTTTGAGGGCTTGGGCCGTGCAGTGGCAATCCCGGTGAGATTTTTTTGACCGCGTATAAAGCCCAGATCCCGCACCCCTTACACCATTCCAGGACTGTTTTATGAATTCAGAGCTGGTTAGTGTAAGTGGGATCTGAAGTGAACGTTGATTTTGGTAGGTCTCATCATACAACGGTGCTTTGACTGTGGCTCATAAGGGTTCAGGCTTTGCAATGTTAGCCTGCGTGGTCTGTCGACAGTCAGTCACAGAAAGTATGCCTTGACCACATCGTAACTGCGGATCTTCATTGCGGTCAAACGAGTAAGCCTTAGCTCTTTCATCCTGCCTCGACGGGCATGGTCGATGGCGTCGTGAGCATGGAGAGGAGAAAACCTCCGTAGTTTTGGAAGTGGTTTTGGTTGGCCTGCATATTATATATATATATATATATATGTATGTCTGTATATATATATATATATTATATACATATGCATATACATATATATATAGACACAGACAGACGTACATGTACTTGTATCCCCAATTAGAACTTGCTGTTTTCTACTAGAGGCTCAGGCGGCATAGCATGGTGCTGCTGGTCGTGCGGGCCGGTAGCGGTGGCACTGTGTTCGCCGGGTACAGGCATAATGTGAAGTGTGAAGCAAACGCGATATGTGGAACGTGTTTCCGGTCTAGACCCGTTTGTTGCAATCGCTACTCGCAGAACCATGTGCCTTCGAAGTCTTTTTCCCTCCAACAGCACTGAGCTAACCCAGATCCTTGGATCATGCATACCGCCCGGTTCACGATATCCGTATGCACCTTAAATATTCCCGCAGAGCCTCATCCAATTAAACGCTGTGTAACTAGTAACCCTATGAACGCAGAGACCAAAACCCATCCTCGCCGCCTCTGACACGACCCAAGGTGGCTTCGAGCACCAGCATCGAGATGAAGGCTCTCCAGCTGCATTCATCGTAATCTGCCATATCCCTATCCCTAAAACGAAGTCAGGGGCTCTCGGCTCCATACCCAAACCCTGTGTGCCCAACTCTGTTGGATACAACGCCAGCTGGCCCCAAAAACTTCAGGGCGTATTGGGCTCAAGATTCTCGGCTGTTGTCGCACAGAGCCTTGTGCCATACTTTGTTTCCCGACCATCCAAATTGCAAGCCGCAAGCCGTGACAGTCCCCAAACACATCACAACTGACTGCCTTCTTCACGTTCATGGCGGTACGTAGTGTTCATCAGATGTTTTGGCAGGGCTTTGTCATTGGGCGTTAGGTTTATTGCCGGGGACAGGGTTCTTCCCCCGTCCAAAACCAGCAGAGGTCGAGAAATCGTCGAAGTGGTCCTCGATGGGCTTTGCCCATTGGTCAAGCAACCCCTGTCCTACACAACAGGGCGGCCCAGTCGGCAAGAGTATAGTCGCTCTGTTTTGCATTGGATCGTTTTGTCCTTTTTTCCTCTCTCTCTCTCTCTCTGTCTCCCTTCCCCGTCTCTCGCCCTCTCTCTCTCTCTCTCTATCCCTCCCTCGTCTGTCTTTCTCTCTCAATTGCTTGCTCTCTTCCTTGCTGTACTGTATGTGTTGTTTGAATTTCGACATCACCTCCCCTCGCCCCGCGCTGACGCCACTGTCATCCCAAAGAAGCTTCACACAGTGTTTTTCAATAGTGTTAGCAGTCTACAGCCCCACACGCATGGCCCAAGCCCGACGCTGCAAGTTCCATAGTTGCATACGTTCAACACCACTTCGAGACTCACAATCAGCAGACCTTTGACGTGACCTTGTGTGGAAAGGCATAGCTGCGGAAGTTCGGTAGCTAGAGCCCCTGCAGCACGGATCCCACACCGTCGGTGCATGGACCCTGTTCCTCATGTCATGCCAAAGCTGTAGAGTTTGTGGACGGCGCGGTTTGTCGACATTCCTCTGTGAGATACCAGCCACCTCTCCCGAACAAGTCTGCAAGCGTCACCCCGAAAATCCTGGGTGGCCAGTTAATTCTAGACTTTGCAGGATCAGATCTGTGGCATGCCTCCTACATAGCCATGCATGATGCCGGAAGAGGGTTTTCTTTGGAATCTTTGGGGCTCCAATGACAAAACTTTTGCAAAGACGACGTGCTGCTTCTCCAGGATGAACCCTCCGCAAGTTTTTAGTCACAAGGTTTTGCGAGGTAACCCTGAGTTTGCAAATTACACCCTTTCTGACTAAGCCTTCCAGCCCCAACCCTAACATCCAAACCCACCGAAACCCTGCCTGAAACTTCAGAACATTCAGCCCGCCTTATTTGTTGTTTAGTGGCCACCGCAAGCCTGTCATCCCCCACAAGGTTAGACAGCTACTACGGAGGCAACTGCCTGGCTATCCGGCCATGCTCAATGCAGTGCCTCCGCTTCCAGATCTACGATCTACGTAATATTCAGGTCTTGTTCTTGTGATGCTGATGGTCTCTCCCCTAGACCCCAAACCCCTGAAATACCAAGCCCAAACCTATCCTACTGGGGGGGGGGCGGCGCGGGGAGCTCGGTGGTGGGGAGGGGGAGGCGGTGTGGGCAGAGACGTAGGCTTTAGGTTTTGTCCTAAATTTGAGCCGTTTTGCATGGCCTTCGAGCTTTTGATTTTATCCCAAGCGATGTGATTATTCTTGTGCGGGACGTGGAGGCAGATTGCTTGGAGGATTGTTCAACTGTTCAGCTGTTCTAGACTCTTCCAGAGTGACACAACGGAAGTGGTGGAAAGTCAGAGTTGATCGTCCTAGACCAGAAATCTCTAGCACAACGCCGAAAGCTGCAATCCTCGCCCTATCCCTCATTTAAAGATCCTATACGGCGGGCGCCTCGGCTCAGGCATTTTTGCTCGCCGCAAGCGCAAGCGGCTGAGGCCGGACGCTCGAAAACTTGGCCTGTAAACCCCGCAGCTTGAAATCCTAGACTCCAGCCTGGTTTACGTGTACAATGAAACTCGGAGGTAAGGAGAGATTTTGCTCATGAGGGCTGTCAGATTGCGCGTGACCTTTGCAAAGCCGTATAAGAGTTGCCGTATACTGCTGCTCGTGCATGTATGTTGTAATGCATTGCCTGCACAACCCGATGTAAGAAGTCTCAAAGCTTCAACCCCTACATGGGCCCCGTGAGGTCTGTTTGAAAGTTGGGAGCGGAGCTCTCTTGCATGCGTTTGGGACCATGAACCGTGAACTCAAGCTGCGCATACCTATTTTTAGGCTGTAATCCGGAAACTGGTAAGGTTCTGCACGCTTTGCGACAAATCTCGGCTTCGGGTAGCTCTACTTTTGGGTTTTGTGGTCTTTAAGCATGTGGGTTGAGGACTAGGCATCGCGTTTGTGTGTGGATTTTGGTCTACAGGAGTTCAGATGTCGATGATGGTTTCGGCTTACTGGGGCGAGGTTGTGCTGGATCTAGTGGATTCAGGGTTCTCGGCTTATTGTTGCTGCCGCGGGTTTGGTGGAGCCCTATGGCCCAGAGAGCTCCGTGCTTGTCCTGCGAAAATCGCCGGGATCTTACCTTCTCAGTCTGTTCGGCGGCCTTTAATTAGAAGCCCCGAGCCGTACTTGCTTCAAACTCAGCCTTGAGAATTCTTCATTCGATTCCTGACTCAACGAACCATTCAAGTTCCACGAAGGTAGGTCGTGCGAATCTTATACAATAATCCTGGCGGACAACGCCTTGAAGTCTCGAACAGGTTCGGACCTTCGTGTCGCAGCTGCGGAATCCTCATGCCACCGATGAGGAAGCTGGTGCTTATAGGCCTGTGGTTGCTCATGAGCGGTCCAGGGCCTAAATACCCCACACTCAACCCCGGAGTCTAGGCAAAGCTACAACCCAATACCCCCAACCCTTAGGACTCAGGGTTTTCGGGCTTTCTTTCTTCAGGCAGGTACACCTAACCTGTAGTTGCTTGGGGTTCAGGGTTCGATTGAGGTTTAAACCTTTGTAAAGCCCACCGCCCGGGAGCCTTAGTTGCTACCGGAATTGAGGCTTTTTTGACCTGGGTTGTAGAACTTGAGCGATTGAAAATGTTTGAAACACCTTGGCAGGAGTTTAGAGCTTCGGGTCGGGCTAGTTGAGGGATATCAATATTCAGGCTCGCAGTTTCCTCAGAGTCTTGGTCAGTTTGCAGGGTTTGAGATGGAAGTTTCGAGGTTCGGTTTGGAACTATGGAGTCCATGGAGCTTTGGGCCTTAAGGCCGTGTGATTTTCTAGACTGTCAAAGCAGGGGTCATGAGTTAGAAGAGTAGCATATGAAGGCGTCCCAAGCCAGCACGCTTAAACAGGTTCTGCATCGGCGATAACCTCATCTTGGATGTTCCGCGCCACTTCACTGCGGAGTATGCAACTGGGCAGTACAGTAAGTCCGGGATTTGAGATTTTTCTTTCGGGCCGGTGGGCCGTGGGGTGTCGGCGCCCTCCTCTCGAAAGCCTTATGAGCCCTAGAGGCCCGGGTCCTTCAGCCCGCGAAACCTAACCCGCAACCCCTATAGGCCCTAAGCCCAGGAGTTGGGTTTGGTGTACAACTCATGTTGCAGTCTCCGGTGTGTTGCTGACCTCACACTCGAACCCGAAACCAAAAGCGTCACTCTATGGTCTCGAAGTCTTGACTTCGAAGCCGATAAGCCTTAAAGCCTCATAACCTTTCAAATGCGTTGAACTGGAAATTCTGATGTATGGAGCCTTCCAGAAACTGAACACTCCTCAGAACCGACACCGGAAGCGGTTCGGGGTCAAGGGCTCAGATTGATACTTGCTGTGGTAACCGGTCAGGTGTTCCTCCCGAAGAGTTTGCTGAACAGCCCTGTAAGGACAGACCACAAACCGTTTCATAGCTTCCAAAGTTGAACCCACTTGAAACAAAAAGCGTCAAGCCGTTCAAAACAAAAGCAAGTCCTCAAGCCGAAACCCGCGATGCCAGAACCGGAGGGCGGATCGCAATTCCCAGTTTCCACAAACTCCTACACCCTAAACACCCTATCCACCGGCCAGCAGTCTTCTCTCAGAAAGTCGCAAGAGGAATTTCTGGCATTCACATAAATCAATCCCGAAACCCCAAACCTCCGACCCCCGTCTGGCCGGTAGTTGCAAGTGCCCGGTTGACGTGATTGCTGGACATCTTTTCTCTCTAGATCCCTCCCCTCACCCTGGAGCGCCATAAATTCCACCTTGAACCCTAAAGCTACAGTAATGAGCTTACGCGGCTTATACAAGGAGAGTTCTGCTCACTTCAGTCTGGTGAGAAAGCTCAGCGATGATGAGGCTCGAGGAAGGAAATTTCAAGATGTTGTTCACCAGAGGGCGTAGGGTGTCCAGGATCTGTGCTGTGGTTAGTCTCTTTCGGGCTTGACGAGGTCCTCTGGGATCGTAAGGTTCTGGAGCTGGGCATTCTATTTACATACGGGTTGGGTTACAGAAAATGGTTCAGTTGCCTACTTGTGTTCCCGGCAGTGCCACAACTGCAACAGATCTACTGCTACAGCCGTGATGTCAAGGAGACCCACAATAGCAAGCGCAACCGTCATTGCAAAACACATCAAAGAGTCGTCCCCAGAGACAGCTTCGTCGTCTTCACCATGGTATCGCAAAGTAGGACTAAAATGCCTGACCAGAGTACTCTCCCCAGGTTTTCGTGAGTAATGTCGCAGAAAACCTTAGTCCCTATGGCCCTATGGTGACATCTGACAGTTGGATCCGGTCAAGCGCAGTAAAGTAAGAGTTTTAGAGTCTCATGAGGCCTTTAGCTGGAGTACCTAGACCAGAAAGTCTAGGTGCAGGTGTAGGGTTTTCGAGGCCTGAAACTCCGCCGTAGCTCTGCAACCAGCTGCAAGCTGCCGCCAACAAGACGACAAACTCCGAAAGCTCCCCAAACCCTGTGCCCAAACCCACAAACCTTCAGCCACTACGCTCCTGCAGGAGGACCAAGACGGTAGCCAGAGTTTGCAGAAGACGCCCAACTGCAGCCCCAGGGCCCAGACCGATCCGCCGCAGACATGTGAATCCGAAACCTTGTAAAGACTAAGACCCTAAGGCTTGAACCCCCAAAACCCAAGCCCGGGTCCTAAAATAGACATAAACTAAGCTTATAAGCCTCAACCACGAATCCCTCGAGCCCTCTGGCCAGATTACTGGCCGGAGGGGAAGGTCAGGTATGGAAAAGCGAACATTCACTCATTTCTTGGATGGCTGAAGATTTTGGTTTTACAGTTTATTGGGGTAGGGCGCGTACCTACGAAGATTAGACCATCAACGCCTCGCCCCCAGCCCGCAAGCGCCTCGACCCTCAAACACCTTAGGCCGAAACTCTCCCGCCCAATCCGACACGCGGCTTCGTCTTCACCTGAAACCCGAAATCCCGTAAACCCCATTCTATATCATATCTAAGCCACGATGCAGATGGGCTCCATCTGGTTCGACTCATGGTGTATCGGGAAGTCTTGCCGTTCATTCTGGTTCTCCGGATGCGAGACTTTGGGGCACAGGGTTCAACCGTAGCCCGAGGCAGAATTCGTTTTTTTGTTTTTTACCAGGGGTCAGAGCCCTGCAATTGCGTGGCAAGAATTCCGAAGTAAGGCACCCCCAACTCAAGCTGACCCCCACGTAAGTTTCGTGCTGGCGGTGCTTCGCAGCATTAACACTCCATCCCGAAGAGATGTTAAGCAGGCTTCACATTAAGGGTTTGGGCGGTCTAGAAGCTTGTTGTGCTTAGGGATGACACTAAATGCCAAACCCCAAGTACCAAACGCCTTAATTGCTTTCAATAGCCTAAACTCACGAGTCGTTTTCCGGTCTCATCTCCTGAACAGTTTCGCCAAGGAAGCGAGACATGATCATTAGTGGCCTCCTGCTGGCCGCTCTGCTGATGTGGCTCTTGTCTGCTTGCAATTTGAGAGATCTGTGCCGACAACAACTTACAACATGTGGGCCGGAGTTGTAAAACCGCGCACATGCAGAAGGTTCATGAGGGGTTTGGATGTGGATGGTTCTCTAAATCATTGTCCCATCCATGTAGCACTTAGTACCTCTTGGCAGGAGCTTATGCCGACAGGCCACCTGACAGGCTTTGAGGCTACAGGGGTCGGGTATGTGGATACTGGCAATTGGGTTGTCTGCTTCTCTTGCAGCAGGATATGTTCTCATTGTGTACTCTGTTTACGCTAAGCCCTAAATGCCGAGAAGGCCCGCCCGGAGTTAAGGAGTCCATGGCTGAGGACATGGAAGCAAGATTCGACTGCATAAGAAAAACGATCGGCTTATTGCAGACGCGCGTCCTTTGTAGGAAACATGCCAGGAAGTCCGGTTTGCTAATTCGATGAGTTCAGAACGGTGCGCTTTAGCTGAGCGAGTTCGTCAGGGGATTCGATGTTTTAATGGCGACTCTTGTTGTTTCTGCTGCTGTTCAACAATCGAGTGTGAATTTTCTAGTTGATGGTCATGCTGTCGAGCATGAACACGAGTTGTGTTGATGAGTGTGACACTGATGACGAACATTCTGAGGATGCTTGCGACGATGGCGGCGGCGTCGGTGCTGGTGGCTGCGAGAACGATGATGATGATGATGATGATGATGATGATGGCGAGCGATGGTGATACCGATCATGCTGATGGTTGTGTTGTCGTTTACGGCGGTTGTGCTTTTGATACCGGGGACTCCGCTGATGCACGTGGGTATGGCACGCGGAATGGTTGCTGCTGGTGGCGAGCATGGCTCTACGACCATCAGGAAGAATCACTAGCTGTCACTAGGTATCATTGAGCATATCGGAACTGTTTACAGCTATCCTGTGACAAATGCCATCTTGAAGATGAAGCCATTGAAGGTAGCCCATGAAAATCCAAGTCACCAAGTGACACGACAATAGGCAACAACAGCCTAAATCTGAACGTGGCCCAGGCCGGCATGATCGTGCTCGTGGCCTCAAACACGTTTCTTGGCCGAGTTCTATGTGTGAATCTCGCAACATTCGGGCTTTAATTGCGGAGCGCTACATAGGGGAACCGGTAAACCCTAGAGTGCTGAGTGATACAACCCATTAGACGGCTTTGGTTTGGATTTTGAGCTTCAAAGTGGAATGAACCCTTGTGGAATGTAGCAGTTGGAGACCTGGATCCTGGTCTGATAGCGGTAGGTCTAAGGGTGTTACCGCTCCACCTTCTGGGGGTGCGAAGTTTAGGGTTTCGCTGGGACTTACAGCAACATGCAACAGAACGAATCACGGTACATATCAGTGCCGTATTACCTGACAGCATAGACTGAAACAGTCGCGATTTAATCACGAAGAGGAAATCCATCTGCCTAAGACCTACTCACGAATGCTAATCGCCCTAAAGGTAGTCGAACATGGGGGAACGGGTGTTTGTTTTGCTGCTGTTGCTGCCTTTTTTTGCTATTACGCTCTGCAGCCGAAGCCCCGGCAAACCGGCAAGTGAGCGAACGGCCAGTTGGGGCCCAGACAGCCAAAAGAAAAACACAAACACACACACACACACGCACGCACACACGCACGCACGCCCGCCCGCCCGCCCGCCC